CTGCTGAAATTCATAGGGGCCAGCGTGGTATAGTGGTTAGTGTCTGAGAAACCCAAGTTCAAATCTCCACTCTGCCATGAAGCTTGGTGGATGACCTTGGGCTAGTCTCTCTCTCTTTCTCTCTCCCTCTCTCTCTCTCACACACACAGACAGAGAGAGCCCAACTAACCTCAAAACATGGTTGTGAGGATAAAATGCAGGAGAGGAGAATGATGTAAGCCACGTTGGGTTTCCCATTGGAGAAGAAGGCAGGGTATAAGAGAAATAAATAAATAAGTCCTGGACCAATAAAATGTAGCTTAGTTTCTTATGATGGTAGTTAATCATTTCCAACTTTAGCTAGACTGTGATGAGCATGGGTTTATTTATATCTGATGGACATTTGTGTTCAAAAATGAGACATCATTGGTTGGTCACATGATTATATATATATATATAATTATATATATTCAATTTTCTTTTTCCTTGGCCCCCCGAAGGGGATTTTTTTGTTGCATTTTTTATATAGACTACAAAACTACAATGAAAGAAAGGGAGGGGTACTACATTCAGGGGGAAAGAAAAGATAACCACTACTGACTAAAAACCCAAGAGAGGAGATCCTCAAATTGCTTACATACAATGCCATCTCTTAAAACGCTACATTTTATGAACTTAGTCAGACTTGCTATTATACCTTTTAAATCTTAAATTTAACTTAAATTTAACCCCTTGGCATCCCAATATTAAAAACATTATTATCAAAGACACAATTCAGAGTCCTTCAATCCTCATTTTTTTCTTATCTTGTCTCTTCCGCAGTTTATAAGGACTTTTAGGAGCCCCTGCCCTCTTCTCAGACAGAGAGCCCTCTCCAGAAGACCCCGAGTCCAGCTCGCCACTGGACTTACTGTCCTTTTCCTCTTTATCCACCTCCTCTGGCTCGCCCAGCTGGATTCTCAAAAAGTCCCGAGCTTTTGAAACAGAGTCAATCTTTTCTTTTTTATCCTGAAGTTTGAAGGTTACGCCCTCTGGATATAACCACCTGTAGCTGATTGCATTGGTTTGAAGAAAAAGAATTAAATCTTTGTATTTATTTCTCCGTTGTCTTATTTCAAATGGGATATCTTTCAAAATTCGAATGGTTCTGTCCCCAATTTTCAAGGGTGTCCCTGCCGTTGCTCTTAGCATAAAATCCCGCACGTGTCTCTTCGAGAATCTCATTACAATTTCCCCAGGCAGATTATTCTTCTTTATGTATATGGAGTAGGCCCTGTAGACCACATCCATTTCGCTCATAAGATCGTCCGCCTTCAAATCTGTCACTGGGGCCAGTGCTTCGCTCATTGTTTGCTTCAGATTTTCTCCTTTAATCTCTGGAACACCTTGGAAACGAAGGACCAGGTTTTCCTTCTCCATTTGTAATTGTAAAAGCTGTTCTTCTGTTGAGATGTGCTTTTTTCCCAATTTTCGCACCTTTTTCTTCACCCTTTGAGCAGTGGCGTCAACCTCTTTCACTTTCTCAGCTGTTTGTTCCATGATTTTTAAAGTCTTGCTGATTTGTGTCTGCTGAGTAGTGATACACTCATTCATTTTTGACAGCTGCTCCTTGAGGTTATTCATCTGCTCCAGCAGGGGGCGCAGGGACTCTGCCATAGTTTTAGTCAACTCGGTGGTTCCTTCCGGTCGTGGGCTCTCTGCTGATTTCGTTTTTGAAAGTTTCTCCTTCTCCGTCCTCTTCCCTGCCATCTTTATCGGTTGTTTACTTTCGCCAAACTTTTTAAAGTATCTGAATATGCGCTCACATGCCCGTACGCGCCTTGGTAAAAGTTCACCACTTTCACCAGTTTTCACCACTTTTTCTTCCACTCCCCCCCCCACTCTCGCTTATAAATCTATGCGCATGGGAGGGACCCCTCCCTCGCTTGCTTTACTCTCTGGTCCGTGGGATAAGGGAGCTTTCTTTTAGCTTAGCAAAACCGCTCTATTCTGACTCACGTTCATATTTGGTCATCCGACCTCGCATTGCCGTCGGTTTTAGCTGCTCAATCTCCTACGCTTGTCCCAGTCAGCGCCACTAGTTCCATACGGACACTCGGCAGAGGGACCATGGGGACGGAGAAGTGCCTCGATTTCCCAGCATCGCGCTGGCAAAGAGGTGACCTCTCAAGAGTCCCTTGGCCAGGAGCCTTTCGCCAGGCCCCGGGGGGGTGCAATGCATCGCCCCCCATCCCTTCTGCCGGTGCACAGCTTCACCCCCGGGAGGTCCGGGAGGTGCGACTGCTCAGCGTGCCGCCATAGACCAGAACTATAAATTCAATTTTCCAAACCACAAAACAAAACATACAAAGCAAAAGAGTGTGATGATTCAAAAACTCTTCTTGTCTTTAACTCCAGACATTTGTCTTAGTTACTGTTAATAGTTATTTTACTTATTTTACTGAAAGCTATTGTACATATAATGCTATCTATGAAAAAATAAAATACATTTTACTTCAATGCTTCTATTTATCTGTCTTATTTACCCATTTATAAAATTTCATCCAGTTTTTTTTTTCAAACTGTCTGTTTTATCCTTTAAATAAAATGTGAGGTTATCAATTTCCACTGCTCCCAATATTTTTGTTACAACTTCAGTTCTGTTTGGTACCCCTGTTTTCCTCCAACAACTGGCATATGCAATCCTTGCTGGAATAATTATATTAATTACAGAATATAAATCATTCTTTTGGATTTCTTTGGGTGGAATAGTTAACAAAAATAATTCTGGGGTAAAGGGGATAGAAATTTCTAGGCTTTTCTGTATTATTTCATGTATATCAATCCAGTAATTCTTCGCTTTCCAGCATTTCCACCACATGTGAAAAAACATTCCAGTTGCCTTTTGGCATTTCCAACAATGATTAGTACAATTAATATCTATCTTAGAAAGGAACATAGGAGTTATATACCATCTGTGAAAAAACTTATAAATATTTTCTTTATAAGGAATCGATCTAGTCATCTTTATACTTTTCTTCCATATCCAAGACCATTGTTCCAGGTCAATAGAGTGCCCTAAATTCTGGGCCCATTTTATCATCACTGGTTTAACCTGTTCCTCATGCATACATTTTTAAAAAATAAATTTCTGATTTGTAAACATCACTATCTTGTTAAACTCTGTATATTTTTCATAGAAACCTAATCACTTATCTTTTTTAAAGCAGGATAGAATTTGCCAATTTTGCCACCAATTATATTGTAATGGGTTTTTCAATTCTTGTCTGGTGTCTATTAACTCATTATATCTAATTTGATCTTCTTTACGGATCACATTCGGATGAGTCACAGCTTCTAAAGGTACTACCCATCTTGGTGTTTTCATATAAGTTTGCTTCTTAATCTGTTCCCATACTTTTAGTAGTGAGCCTCTCAACCAATGATTCTGAAAGTATCTCTGCGATCCCGCCTTTCCGTACCAGGAAAACGCATGCCACCCTAAAGGCAAGTCATGCACTTCTAATTTTAAAATTCTATCGTTTTCCAGAAGAACCCACTCCTTAATCCACGCTAAAGCGGAAGCCTTGTAATAAAGCTGCCAATCACGGAGGTCAAAGCCTCCTCTACTCTTTTTACCCTGTAATGTCTTGAGTTTAATCCTGGATCTTTTCCCTTGCCATATAAAGTTTAAAATTACTTTTTCACAGAAAGTATACCCCCCTCCTTAAGAAAAAATTAATGTCAGAGTTGGACTTTCATCAATTTTCCCCTCCCACAGGAGACTTCTGATTCTCCCCCAAGCTATTCCTGGAGATATCCATTCCATCAGAAGCAGAATTTCTCTTTCCTTTATTATTCTAGTCCTCTGAGCTAAGGTCTTGAGAAAAGTCAATACAAGCATATGATAAAATACAAAGCAGTAACTCCAGATGCACAGCAGCAGTAGCAGCCAGAATATGGAGTTTTGGTAAAGCACTCCTGGAGCTCTGCAATTGGCAGGATATTCAGTCTGCCTACCGTAAAAGCATGCCTCTAGCCAGAAGCTGTAAGACTTATGAAGGGTTGAAGAGCTGGGAACTGTCACTGCAAAAGTAGAGCATATAAGCCTTGCACAGCCCTGTATGTCAGCACAGACAGACAGAATAATCCTTTTCTAACCAACCTTACAACTTCCATATCCCTAACCACAGCTGGAAAAATACCATGAAGCTCTAATCGATCAGCCACATATTTTCCCCATATACAACATCTTTCAGTTAATGTAAAAGCCCTGCCCCCAAGAAGCAGCCTTTCTGGAAGTGTTTGGGGCTGTTATAGAAAATCAGCAAAATCTACCCCCCCCTTCTTTGCACCTGCAGTAATGCTAGGCAAGATCCAAGCTACTGTAAACAGTCAAATATCTTGACCATTCACCATCCAGCACCCAGCTCCTTCTTCATGGTTGACAGTAACCTGGCTGCTGCAACTTGGACCACTTGATGTTTCCAGAAAGGTTTCCAAGGCATGAGCCACACACAGAACATTACCATAATGTGACATGGATATGATCAAACCATGGATTACCATGGCCAGACTGCACTTTTCAAGCCATGGCCATATTAGCCAAAGCTAATACATCGGGCACTGCTCCACCATCAGACAGAAAGGAATTGTACTTCGCTCTGTAATATTTACTCTTGCAGCCTCTCTGTTATACACAGATGGTATCTTGTCAATTGTAACAATGCTCAATGTTACACTCATTAGAAGTGTTAAAACACAATAAGTATAATTTATCCAAAGAGGAGTACAAACTCACCCATTCCCTGTTTTGACAGAATACGGCTTCCTGAGATACCAAAGGAGGAGAAGCAGCAGTAGAAGGACATGAAATTCCCAAAGATTCATTATCTGGAGAGGCAGGAAATACTCCAGTGTGATTTGGTGGCAGTACATGAGGAAGAACACTAGAAGTAGCCAAGTAATTCAGTGGCTTTGTTTCCTGAAAGGCTTGTGTGTGAACCATGTTACCTGATAAGGCACTGTCTCCTCCCAGCATACTGCTGTTTGAAGAGGTGTGCAAGGATGTAAACTGTTCACAGAAGGATTCATTTGTGCTGTCTGCCCAGTCCAGATGTAAAGAGGAGTCCATTTTGTTGTCAGTTTTGCTGGCAGACGACAAAGCCCACCCCAGTGGAGCCTCAGCAACCCACTGAGACACACAGTCTTTATTTTTCAAAGGGTCCCTCTCAAAATCCTTCTTAAGACTATACAGTGAGTGCAGCTGACTACAAGGAAGGGACTTTAAAACTGATCTTAAGGTCCTCCATTTTGGGTAAATGGGACTAGCTTTTGTTGTGTCAAAGGTAAGGTTCTGTCAAAAGAATCAGAAATATTATTAGTCAGAGAACAGCAGATGATACATAATCCATGCAGACATGTACACCATTTTTGTTGTCTTAACTGCTTTAAAGTCTTTATTATCCTCACAACAGTTCTGAGAAATTTCCTATCGTCAAAGACATAAAACTGAGTTGTGACAACAACTTTCCACAGGAGATGAAATACAAGTGCTGACATAAGATGAAGTAAAAACCACCCTATATTTCCAGTCACCTCTCGGACCACAACAAAAGTCACTGCCAGTGTTCCCTCTAAGCTGAGTTAGCGTGAGCTAGCTCACAGTTTTTTAGCCTCTGGCTCACACATTTTTGTCTTAGCTCAGGAAGGATGGCTCCAGAGCAAACTCATTTATGCAGTAGCCAAATCACTCGCTCACAACTTTTAATGCCAGTAGCTCAAAGTAGAATTTTTGCTCACAAGACTCCACAGCTTAGAGGGAACACTGGTCACTGCAGTACAGTGGCCAGAGTGCCCATCTCATGGGGAAGATCTGAGTTCATCCAGTCACTATCCTTCTGTGGAAACTACCAGAAGATGGCAAGGAAGGGAGGACAGAGGAAACCCACAAGAAGCCCAACATTTCCCTCAGTCCTTACTAATACAATTCTCTCCTTGCAGTATATAGGTTGCACCTCCCATTCCCCAATCGGCAGTTCACAGACCTTTCCCCTCCTTGGACACAGCATACTGATAGAGATCAAAAGTTGTAGCTCACAGCACAATACTGTCTGCCGCTGATGGAATTTTAATCAGGAAAGAAGCTAATGAGATACCAGGTCTATAAGCCTACCCCGTTTCAGAATATCCTCCATCCAGAGCAGGCATGGAAAGGTGTTTGCCTTACCTTTTGATGAAAGTTTCCAAGAAAGATGATTTCACAGCTGCTTGGAGCAGTTTATTCCATTGCTGAATTATCATGCAGTTTTCTTACTTTTTTGAAGAGGTTTTATTCTTATAGCCATTGCAGATAGAATCGGCTATTATTATTTACCTATTTTAAAAGAGAAATATCCTCAATTGAATCATAGCCAATGCTTCTTCGATCACAGTGAAAGAAAGGCATGCTTATTTCAGCTGAAATTCTGGTATGAAAATTAGGTTATGAAAATAGGATCCTATAGTGAAAGTTCCAACTGATTCCTTTTAAATAAAGACCATCTGTGTTTAGTTTGGGATGATATTCCCCTCAGCATTGTTCAACAGTATCAAGGGGGCCATGAGCAGAATGCATAGGCACAGCAGAGAGCAGAAACTTAAAGGTAACTTCTGCAAGGTTTGTTCACATCCAAGGCTTGTGCAGGGCATTTTGCTGCCCCAAATGCCTGACTATTTTGGCACCACTCTCTGCCTCCCACCCATACCACTGCTGACATGTGGCAAGGAAGCAATCTCCCAAGCTTGCCAACCTTGATTTAGGGGACATGCCTCCACTGTGGACCTGGGTAGCTCAGGGTTAGGGGGGTTGTGTCACCCTCTTTACAGCACCTCCGGTAACAGGGAGCAAGTCAGTGAGCTCTACAGGAGGCACTGGGCAACGACAAGCACAGATTTGCAATGTACATGCCCTTTCCATCTCCAGTTCTGGGGCCCTGGTCTGAGAGGTGCGCATGTATTTCCCCACCACCACAACTGGCAGGAGCCAAACTCCAGAGGCTCTGGAGC